CCACTCTAAATGTTCGATCCAAAGTCACCCCCATAGTTGACGAGCATGTTTATTGGCGAGATTTAGTGGGTATCGGCCAACAATTTCAAATTCTATCAAAAATATTTTGGCTCTCGGCCATGTTTTATTTATCGAGCGACCATTTATCAAAACGAAATACTCTTTATTATGGATTATCTTTTCGGTCATTAATGCCATAACCGGTCCATGATCATAACCAATTATCTATAAATTCTATACAAGTGACTAGGAGAAAAGAGTGTGCCAATCTTTATTACTAAGTGCACGGTCCAACTGACAAGGCGACACGCATTGTTAGATTTTAGGATTTTCTTTCTATGACAACTGATTTTCTAAACAAGCTAAAATTTTGGATCATAACTCATAAGATTAAAAGAGAGTAAAAAGGACGTAGGTCAGATTCTTCCCTTTGTTTCATGATTAATCATTACTCAGTTAAAACTGCCTATCATGTACCAAAGGCTTGATCGTTTAATACCAATTCAAGTGAGACGCTCCCAAACATTATTTCAAAATTGAACGCTAAGATCTCTATAACAAAAGTCATTAAAATTTTATTCCTTTGATAAGAGACTTTCACATGAATAATTTTATTACGGGAGAAGATAAAATTATAATTCAAAATATTATTAGAAAGAAGAGCTAAACCACTGCTCAATACTAGAAATTTAACGGTAAAAACATTGTCATAACCAAAATACAACTTCAAATATATAAGAAGAGGTAGATATTCCTTTCCACGGCATACGTGAGATGGGCAAGTACCCTATACTCTTTTATTTTTTCAAGTAATTTTGTTATACACTACAATAGTCCATGTTAACAATACAAAGAAAACAACATTAAAAATGCCATAATAACCAATTAAAAAAAGAAAATGGGTACTAAGCCCACATAAATGCTAACAAGTGAGAACGTTGGTTATGAGATATGATATGAGGTATCGTTGGGCTAAACAAATTTTAAACGATTGCTTAGTTTATTTTGTTAAAACATAATATTGTTAAAAATGACAAATGAGATAGTAATGAAAAGATTTCAAAATATAGAAGAAAGTAAGATAAAGAAAAATAAAGACGTTTTTGTATTAATAGTGTTCGTAATACTTTTATTCTATTTTTAATAATACTTTTATTGAAATAGTCGTGTTTCTAATGATTTCAGTCTTTCGAAAACAATTTGAAACGATAAGCAAAAAAATAAAAGATTAGATTGTTTTTGCCCCGGACCAACTCTGAAGGAGGCCTTCAAGTTTGTGCGGTGCCTTATAGCACAATGAAAGGATTTTGTTTCACATCACCTTATCAACGTAAGATGAGCCGCGTCGATAGAACATGTGTTTTCGCGAGTTCTTTTGCCTCCACAGGTAGTGGCTTTGATGTGGTGAGGTGAGAACGGGTGTCCGACCAGTCCGGGGTTAGAGCTGAACCCAAAAGATCACCACTTAAGACTGACCAGACGTATAAGTGTATGGGTTTCTTTGAGTTTATCTAAGCAGTGTTCTTAATGTACAAGTTATTGTAAAAAAAAAAAAAAAAATACTGTGCTCCGACATTTTAATCACCAATAGACTTGGTGTACTATATACCGCAATCTAGAGTTTAATTAACTTGCCGTCTGAATATAAATGAAAATTATCCGATTTAATAAAAGCCAATCAATCACGGGTAAACTGTTATAGTCAACACTCAAGCACATTGACTATATTTATCACCATGACAACTTTATGATGTCCCATGTGTGAATAATAATGAACAATTAGTAATTTATTTACAGATCTTGCAGATTAATTACGCTAACACAAGAGAGAGAGAGAGAGTTGGAACAAACATTTGATTTAAAACATCTCTTACAATAATAACAGTGTCAATAAAATAAACATATTCAAAGATATTGTCTCTGCACTTGAAGATGAATAATTGTTTTTTACTCAAAAATAAACTTTTTTTCTTCTCTCTATTTTATAACTAAAACAAACATTTAGATCTTATCAGATCAGAGCAGAGCACTAAACTTGATTCATTTTCTTAACATATCACTCATTACAAAGACTTAAACTTTAACAGCTTCACTATCACCACCATCACCATCAACACCATCATCATCATCATATTAAATACCCTCCCAATTGCCAGCTTAACCAAAACAATGACTGACTCTTTTCCAAAATATGCTAAATTCTAACTTTTAACTTTCTTAAAACCCATAAGAAACAAATTAAAATAAACAAGAGAATGAAAAAAAGAAAGACAGATAGAGAATTGATTGAAGAGAGAAGAAAAAACAAATCTTGCTTGAAGTGTGAACAAGATTCTTCACAAAAAAACCCTAAATTTTTTATGAAAATGGCAAATGCAAAAAGACAATTAATTAATGAGGATGATGATGTTGCTGAGATAGTAGGTAATGAAATTTAATGAAGACTGAAAAATAAATTATAGACAAAAATTAAAAATAAGAACCAAACCAAGAACAGATATGCTTCTTTTTTCCTCCCTTTCACACTTGTAGATGAATCAAGCAAGATTTAGATTGCCCTGAATCAAACATTCATAACCAAACATCAAAACATGAACTAAGAAGAAACCAAGAACAGAGAAGAACAAGAATTAGAAACTTACAATGAAGTAGAAGATCTCAGATATGGCAACCAAAGCAATTGCAAGTTTTGGGAGTGAAAGAACAGTAACCAAAGGGTCTATTAGGGATGTTGCAGTTAATAGCATAGCAACAAGGAGAAGGCAAGCAAAGACCTTTAGCACCACCACAACAAGTACAAACAGAACATATCTGAAAACTTCCAAGCTTCCTTCTTGTTTCATTCATTACCATAAACTTCTCCTCCATCAATGGCACCATCATCTTCTCTCCTTCAGATGGTAATACCTCATTTGCCTAACAAATTCCAAAATTCCAATCAGAACCCAGAATTACTCATTCACTAGAGCTAAAGAAAGGTCAAAAATTTGAATCAGGTTAGGTTAAAGGTTTGATTTTTGACGAAATTAGAACTACCCAGATGTGAAAGAAGAGAGCTTTAGAGGGAACTAGTGATGGGATCTAAGTAAACAAACTCACCTGGTGACTGAAACTGATGAAGATTGAGAAGAGAAGAAGTAACAAGAAGACAATAGAGATCTTCGATTCTTCTAAAGTTCTCATTTTTTTTTTTTTGGTTTTGAAATTTTCTTTTCTTTGTTGGGTTTGGTTTATTATGTGGTTAGGGATTTTGGGTAAAAGTAGCAAATGCTACTTCTCTCTCGAGCTACTTTTTTCAATTATTTTGGTTATAACATTTATGATTTTTGTAGAGAAATGTTTTTGTTTTTATTGAGGGAAATAAAAAGTGGGGTCTTTAATTTACTATTTCTTTATTTCTCCACTTCATTACCACACCAATATCGAATCAAATGATAGAGAAAACCATACCAATAGTAATAAAACAGATTCTTCTTCTTCTTTTTTTTCGAAGGATCTGATTCTTTTGGGTGACAAAGATCATTTCAATAAAGTTAAGATTATTTTTATTAGCATTTAGAATAGTGAAGTGAAGCAGACACCAGACAGCAAAATTTATAACCCATACATAGGAGCTTATTTGGTCAATGACAAGAACTTAAGACAGTGTCGTACATGTAGTATATAGTCTTGAGTTCATATTTCCATATAGATTACAAGTTTATAGAATAGAGATTTGTATGAATAAGAATTCAAGATCAACAAAGTAAAACTCACTTTATTATGCTTAAGAAAATAACTCAAAACTTAAGCTCTTGTTCTTTCTTAAACCATACAACTCTCACACAAATAGGTCATGACTCAACCTATCTATTTATACAAGAAACTCAAATCCTAATCTCACTAGGATTATGTATATATTAGATAACTCCTAATATATTTGATATTATCCTCTCTTTGATATTATCCTCTCTAAACCATAACTCGGTTTAGTTGCTTCCCGTACCAGTTATCTTCAAGCTTACTCCAACATTCTCCCTCTTAAGCTTGAAGTCTTCTTGTGCCATGTCCTTAACTCTAATGAGACTCCTCATTTCCTTGAATTTGATTCTCCCAAGTGCTTTGGTCAGTATATCCACTTTCTGCTCATCTCCTGAAACATGTAAAACTTCGATTAGCCCATTCTCAACGCATTCTCTTATGAAGTGGTAACGTCTATGTATATGCTTGCTTCTACCGTGAAAAACAGGATTCTTTGTGAGTGCAATTGCTTATTGATTGTCTATAAGTATGGTAACCTTCTCACAAGAAGCTCCGACGATTTCACTAAGTAGGTCTTGGAGCCAAATGGCTTGCTTTGCAGCTTCCGTTCCCGCCATAAATTCTGCCTCACACGACGACATTGCCACAACATCTTGTTTCTGTGAACACCATGTTATTGGACTCTTACCAAAATAAAACACATGTCCCATTGTGCTCTTCCCATCATCCGGGTCAATGTTATGGCTACTATCACTATAGCCTATTAGCCTTGGTATCTCTTTACTTCGACCAAAAAACAATCTGAGAGTAGTTGTCCCATTTAAGTATCTCAAGCATTGCTTCATTGCTGCCCCATGTGACTCCTTAGGTTGTTGCATATATCGACTTAACACACCTACACAATAGGACAAATCTGGTCTCGTGTGTAGTAGATAGCGAAGGCAGGCAACATTCTTCCTATAGCTCGTGGCATCAATGTCTCTCTCCTCCAAGGCTTTTGATAGTTTCAAACCTGCTTCCATTGGTGTATGCACCGGATTACACTCTGTCATGCCAGCTTCCTCTAATATTTTTAGTGCATATCTTCTTTGATTCAACGCTATTCCTTCCTTAAGTTGACACACTTCAATTCCGAGATAGTAGGTTAGTTTACCAAGGTCACTCATTTCGAATTTTGATGCCATCTCTTTCTTGAAACCTTCTATGACCTTAAAACTCGTCCCTGAGAGCTTGTCTCAAACCATACAAGGCCTTGTTAAGTTTGTAAACTTTGTTCTCATATCCCTTTACTACAAAACCTTCTGGTTGCATCACATAAACCGTTTCCTTTAAATCTCCATGAAGAAACGCAGTTTTAACATCGAGATGATGTATTTCCCATCCGCTAGACGCTGCAAGACTTATTAGAAGACGGATTGTCTCAATCCGTGCTACTGGAGCAAATACATCCTCAAAATCGATTCCATGTCGCTGCACATATCCCTTTGCAACAAGCCTGGCCTTGTGCTTGCTTATGCTACCATCCGAATTTTTCTTAAGTTTAAAAACTCATTTTAGGCCTATCGGCTTTATTTCTTGCGGTGGTTCCACAAGGCTCCAAGTTTTGTTCTTCTCAATGGAATGAATCTCATCTTTGCACGCAGCCAACCACTCTTTTGACTCTCTTGCTTCTGAGAAATCCCATGGCTCATCATTTAAAGCCATTAGCAGCCTCTCTCCTTCTACTTCACTCATCAACACGTAATCTAGAAGATACTTGGGCTTTGTCACTACTCTTCCTGACCTGGTTACTGTTCTCCCTACAGCAGCTTGAGTTTGGTTATCACTCTCATCATCGCTTTCATTCTCTGAAGATTCTCCGCCGGTTTCATGAACTGTGGGCTCACTTTCTTTTACTCCGGTGTTGGTTTCAACAGTTCTCGGGGTCTCTGTTTCATTGTTGTGCTCTGTTTCTAGTATACCATGATTCCCGAAGATTCCAAACTCGATTCTAAGATCTCCCGTGTTGTCATTCTCGTGTCATTTTTGTTCCAATTCCAGCCTTTTGTTTCATCGAAGATAACATCGCGACTCACCATTGCTCTTATATTTTTTGGATCATACAATCTGTATGCTTTTGATCCAGGCTCCGTACCCAAATGAACCAACACACGTGACCTGTCATCTAGTTTCTTCAAATGTGACGCCTCTGTCTTTGCATATCTAACACAACCAAAAACTCTGAGATGATTAACATTCGGGACCTTCTGTCGTAGCATCTCGTATGGTGTCTTGTCCTTTAAAGATCGTGTAGCTATTCTGTTTAAAAGATACGTGGAGTGCCTCACAGCTTCTCCCCAGAAACGATTTGGAACCCTCATGTGCTTTAGGATGCTCCGAGTCATTTCCATGAGAGTTCTATTGCGCCTTTCAACAACTCCGTTTTGTTACGGAGTGTATGGAGCTGTGAGATGCCTTCTTATGCCCGAAACTGCACAAAAATCATTGAATTCTATAGATACAAACTCACCTCCCCTGTCTGTCCTAAAGGTTTGTATCTTTTCCCCTGTTTCTTGCTCTACTACAGCCTTAAATCTCTTAAATTTTCCGAAAGCTTCACTCTTCTCCTTTAAAAGTACCGTCCACATATATCTGGAGTAGTCATCAATAAGCACAAAAACATACTTGTTTCCTGCTACCGTGCTCGGTGTGATCGGGCCACATAGATCCCCGTGAATCAACTCAAGTGTTTTGGTGGCCCGATACATTGTAGCTTGAGGAAAAACCTTCCTTGTTTGCTTCCCAAGTAAACACGAGCCGCAGATTTTCATCTCAAAGTTTCCAAGTGAAATTCCCGTTACGAGTTCTCTTGTTATCATTGTCTTAATTGTCTCATGATTAATATAGCCTAGCCTTGCATGCCATCTTGTTGAATCCGCTTGAGTTGTTGTATACAAGCACATTGTCTCCTTGATTCCCATTCTTACCTTGTAGAGATGATTTCTTGATCTCACTGTTTTCACAAGTAGCTTCCCATTTTGGTCATGCATTGTTAGACTTTCTCCTTTCATTCTCATATCACAACCCGATTCTGTTACCTGACCAAGACTAATGATGTTACTTTTGAGCTCGGGAATAAAATAGACGTCAATCATCTTCCTAATCTCTCCGTTTATGTCGATAAACTCTATGGTACCTTTTCCTTTGATATCAATTCGAGAATCGTCACCAAACCTTACTTTTCCGGAGATAGTTCTATCCATATTTGAAAAATATCGCTTATCTCCGGTCATATGGTTACTAGCGCCATTGTCAAGGTACCACATATTGTCTTCTCTAGAGTTTGTTTCATACTTACTAGGTAAGACCTTCTCTTCATTTAGATACACTACTTCGTGCATCATTAGCTCATCTGCGTCTACTGTGCTCTTTGTGTCGTTTTCTTGTACTTCTTGCAGCTTAAGCAAACGATCCGGGCAATCAGATGCAAAGTGACCAAGTTTATCACATCGATAGCAAGTCACTTTTGAAGTATCTCTTGTTCCATTGTATCGTCCTCGTCCTCTTCCTCTGTTAGAGAATCGTCCTCCACGTCCTCTGCTTCCTTAACTCTTTCTGCGCCCAAGTGTTTCGCTTTTATAGACTCCCAAACCTTCTTAGCAGTATCCATCTCTCCAATTGCCAGAACAAGTGATTCGGGGATTGATTGAAACAACAAGGCCATAGCTATGTCGTTGTTCCCTTCGTCCGTCGATGATTCCTCAATGATATTCCACACCTTATGAACACGAAGCAAAGATTCTCATCCTCATGGCCCATACTGTGTAATTAGTTGCGGTAGCATAGGGCACTTGATCGATGATGAGCTTCCTCCGTCCTTGTTTATTGTTGCTAAAGCCGTGTTCGATTCATCCGCAATTTCACTCATGGTGTCTCACGGATCTTACAAGCTCTGCTACCAAATATAGAATAGAGATTTGTATGAATAAGAATTCAAGATCAACAAAGTAAAACTCACTTTATTATGCTTAAGAAAATAACTCAAAACTTAAGCTCTTGTTCTCTTAAACCACACAACTCTCACACAAATAGGTCATGACTCAACCTATCTATTTATACAAGAAACTCAAATCCTAATCTCACTAGGATTATGTATATATTAGATAACTCCTAATATATTTGATATTATCCTCTCTAAACCATAACTCGGTTTAGTTGCTTCCCGTACAAGTTATCTTCAAGCTTACTCCAACAAAGTTTGTTAGGGATTTTCAGTAAATTTCAAGGACTTGCTTATACATGTACGATATAGTCTTGAGTTCATATCTTTGAGACGGAAATTTGATAACAAGTAAATAAACGACTCATCTCACAATATACTATAGGAATAATCTAGAAAAAGCGTTGCCAAAACATGATTTCGAAATTGTCGACAAAACCCAAATCTTTGTAAAGTAATCATTCAAACACTACAAGAATATTGGCTTTTAATAGCACAATACTATAGCGTTTTATTCACAAATGCTATTATAAGTATAAGGTCGAGTTTAAGATAGCGTTTGTAGTTTTAAAAACGCTATTAATAAAGTTTCGCAGAAAGAAAAATAAACACGCGCCTAATAATTTTGGGTTTCTATTTTTATAGCATTGTCTTTAATAGCAGAATTATCATAAAACGCTATTAAAAGTGAACCGGGAAAACCTAAAAATAATTGGCCTTGAACCGGGAAACTAAATTTGGCTTTTCCCTCTAAAAGTCTCGATATTTTCTAAGTCCTCAAAACAAGCTCTCAACACTCTTACTCGAAATTTTCTAAGTCTCAAATCTCTCAATCGATTCAAGCTCTCAAATCTCTCAGTCGATTCAAGCTCTCAAATCTCTCACTCGATTCAAGCTCTCAAATCTCTCAGCCGATTCAAGCTCTCAATCTCTATCTCACTCGATTATAAACGGTACTTTTGTGAAATTTCGTCTCGATTTAGGGTTCTTAAAAGTTGTAATTGATTCCAGTCGATTATTACCTTTGTTTGTAGGAAGATTTCGGCTTATTTGTCACGGTGAAAGGTATGTTACATTGTGAGGGTTTTTGATTTGGGTTTCAAATTGGATTTTCGATTTGGGGATAATGTTCGATTTGGGGATAATTGGGTTTTTCAATTTGGTTCTCATTCTGTTTCTTTATATTTGCGCAGATAACTATACAATCTCCTGTTGTCAAACTCGAATTACATAAGGTAAATTATTCGTTTACTAAGCTTGATTTCTCTTTGTATTTGCTGAAATTTAGCTTCGTTTCTTTTCAGTTTGGGTCTTATAGTTGTTTAGGTTATGTTTTATACATTTGTCTTATCTTTGAAACTCTTATCTCATATGTACATCTTGTGGAGCTGTGGTGTTCTTGTGACATGGACAAGTCTTGGGTTTGGCTTCCAAGGTATGTTACTTGCAGAGATTTTTGTAAATAGTTCTGTTAAGAAATGTTTTGAGATTGATTTTGAACATTGAAATTTTTATTAACCTACAGGACTAGCCTTGAGTATCATGAAGGTGCAAGTTCTTTTGTTTCTGAATCAGCAAAGCGTTTGGGTAATCTTGAAGAAATGTTATGTCCCTGCATGCATTGCCGCAATGTATGCCATCAGTCTAGAGAAATAGTCGTGGATCATCTAGTTATTAGGGGAATGGATCAGAAATATAAGAGGAGGACATGTTGGAGTTTGCATGGGGAGTTAATTAGTGACAACACAGCTGATGAAGCAAGACCAGAATTAGAAGCTCATTACTTGTATAGAGCAGCTTTTGGAAGTGAAGGAAAGCCAGAGAATCATGATGAATACCAGTCAGAGTATGTTGAAAGTAATGAAGAATCAGAGTTTAGGAAGAAGTTGGAGGATGCTGAAACTCCACTGTACTCGAGTTGTCCTACTTACACTAAAGTTTCTGCGATTATGGCCCTTTACCGCATCAAAGTGAAAAGTGGTATGTCAGAGAACTTCTTTGATCAGCTTTTGACTATTGTTCATGACATGCTGCCTGAAGACAATGTACTTCCAACATCAACGTATGGGATGAAGAAATTCTTGAAGATATTTGGGTTTGGTTATGATGTTATTCATGCATGTAAGAATGACTGCATTCTTTACAGGAAGGAGTATGAAAATATGGTAAGCTGTCCAAGATGTAATGCATCTAGATGGGAAAGGGACAAGCACAGTGGTGAAGAAAAGAAGGGGATTCCAGCTAAGGTACTTAGATATTTTCCTATAAAGGACAGATTCAAGCGTTTGTTTAGATCCAAAAGATTGGCAGAGAATTTGCAATGGCATTTCAACAATGCTAATGAAGATGGTACCATGAGGCACCCTGTGGACTCTACAACATGGGCTCAAGTGAATTCTAAGTGGCCTCAGTTTGCTGCTGAGCCAAGAAACCTGAGGTTAGCGCTGTCAACTGATGGGATGAATCCTTTCTCCATTCAGAACACAAAGTACAGTACATGGCCGATGTTGCTAGTAAATTACAACATGCCTCCAACAATGTGTATGAAGACAGAGAATATAATGCTGACAATGTTGATCCCAGGACCAACTGCTCCAGGTAACAGCATTGATGTCTATCTAGAACCATTAGTTGATGATTTAAATGATATGTGGAATGATGGCATTGAGGTGTATGACTCATTCATGAAGGAGACATTCACACTAAAAGCAATGTTGCTGTGGACTATTAGTGATTATCCAGCCTTAGGTACTTTAGCTGGTTGCAAAGTTAAAGGAAAACAAGCTTGTAATGTCTGTGGGCACCTGAAAAAGTCAAAGTATACAAAGAAGCATCCGACAATAATGCTACTAGTTCATCAGTAAGTACTCATTTTTTTCTATTGATATGTGTTTCAATAAATGATTTTGATACGATATTTTTATGCATGGTTATGTAGACTGTAAATGAATCAATGGATAAGATCTACATCTACGGTTGGAATTTGGTTGATACAATTGTTGCTGAGGGTCGAATGGTATCAACAGATCCTACAGAAATAGTCAACAATATTCCTATTGGTCCCACTGCTGCAGTTGTGATGGTTGAGATGGTGATTGAGAAAAATGCTTGTTTGTGGAGACCAAGTACTGATCTGCGGGTGATTGGTGATGCACTTCACGAGAGAATCGTTTGGCCAGTAGACAAAGTAGACCCGATAATTGCTCCTTCAATAAGATCATCACATGTGGTAAACAATCTTTTACATTGTTTTTAATAGTCATTGTCTTGCAAAAAACAGTTTAACTTGGGTCTCTGATTTGGTACTCGTTTCATATTAGAACTGTTTCATGTTCTAATGTTTATTTGTTTAATCTGATGGATATTGTGTACAATTGTGATTGATTTTTGTAGAGTGCTAACAGCAACAACACCAGCAGTACTCAATCTGGTCAGAAGAAGAAGTGCTACTTGATAGATTGCTCTAAACCGGGACAGAAGGTTGCAGAAGGCAGAGTTTGGTCATCTAATCCAACAGACACAGTGCATCTTAAACCATTGGGACCCAATGCTAGCAAGGTATCAGTTGACGTGCCACTAGTAGGAAATGCGAAAGTGTGGAAACCAAGTTCAGAGATTCAGACCATTGATGATGCATTAGGTAGTCTTGTGGCTTGGCCTAGTGATAAACTTCTTTTTATGTGATGATGTTGTGGTAGTAGAGAACATTAGTGTGTGGATGTTTGGATGCTTGGCCTTAGTAGAGAAACTTGTTGTGTTCGGATTAATTATGTTTGGATTAATGTTATGTTTTGGATTTTTATGGAGTATATTCAAAAACAGGTTTTCAATAATCAAATTGTGTACAAATAATAACGAAAAATCGTTTATATCTAACGCTATTATTATTCAACACAATAACATTTATAAAACGCTGTCATTACATTAAACTTTGAAAGAGTAAATAAAACGCTATTATTACACAACACAATAACATTTATAAAACGCTGTCATTACATATATTAACAGCGTAAATAAAACGCTATGAAAGAGTAATTCATAACTTTTCAGAAACGCTATTAAAGATAATACAATAATAGCTTGACATAAAACCGCTATCGAAAGTGGCGGAGCTATTATAGCGTGCGATGATATAGCGTTTGGTAAAACGCTATTGTATCTATCAATAGCGTTTTCTGACCGCTACAAAAAGCCAATATTCTTGTAGTGAAAATCTGATATACTAGATTAAAAAAAATATATGAGAATGCTATTACCGTAAGTAGTAAATCAAAAATATTTTCTTAATATGATATTAATAAACTTAATCCAAATAATATAATTGTATTAGATTGTAATACAAATTTCATTTTCAAAAATAGGTTAGTTTTTGATGAGGTCATGAGTTCAAATCTTACCAACATTGCTCGGGTTCTTGAATGTATCAACCGCCTTGAACAAGGTCCGGTACAAAGACAATGCGGGAAGAATTCAACAAAGATATGGAGAATTTGATAACCTATAGAGAAATGGAGAACACCATCAAACAATTCGATAATCTCACTCTTTGTAGTAACAAGTTTAAGCAAGAAGAAGCAGAGCCTACAGAATAACAAACTAAGGTCATGAGTCCAGATAGTCATGGGCGTTCAGTTATCGGTTTGGTTCCATTCGATTTCGGTTCGGCTCTAGTTCTTTCGGTTTTAAAATTTAGTATCCATTCGGTTATTTTGCTTTGGATAATTTCGGATATTTCGGTTATATTTGGGTATTTTCGGATATTTTTGGATATTTTCGGTTATTTTTGAGTATTTTGACTATTTATATATATATTTCAAATATTTTTGATTATTTGGTCTATAAATAACTAATATTTTTGAAAATGTAACTGTATTTCGGTTCGGTACCGATTCGGTTACAGTTATTTTGGTTATAGAATTTAGTATCCATTCGGTTATTTTCAAATTTTCGGTTCAGTTCGGTTCGTTTTTTTTTTGCTTCGGCTTCGATTCGGTACATTCGGTTCGGTTTATTTGCCCATGCCTAAATCCATACTAAAGTGTTGGCCCAACTTTTGTGAACCAACAAGTGAAAGGCCTCTCCTCAAGACAAACCAAACCCAAGTTCTCTTTGTCATCACTCCAAACGACGCCATTTAAGGAGATGTGCGGAGTAGACGCTTCCAAGACCGAGAACTTCCTCCCCAAACTAAGGTATGCGTTTAAATCTTTTAAAATATATGTAAAGTTTCCTTTTCTTTTGCTGGTTGGTTCGAAAGTAGTCTAGGTTCATTTTGTAGTTTATTTCTCAATTATTTGTTGTCTTTTCTTCTCTTTTCGAAGACCCTAGAAGGTCGAGGTGTTTGACATATTAATAAAGTCCATTGCAGCTATTGTAGCTCACTTTGTTGCCTATTAGCAATAAAGAGAGAACAAAGAAAGAAAAGTGTGAGGGTTTAGGGTTTTGATGCTTTGGACCGTCTAAAGATACTTAACATAAGCAATAATAAGAATTTCAGATTAGGATATTACAAATATTCAAGAGCTGGTGGAATAGGAAGATGCAGAGAAAATTTTCTCAATTAAGCTGTGTTCAAATGCTAATCGATTAGGCTGGTATTATACCAAAGATGGAGTGTACATTGTAAAATCAACTTATTGACTTGCCACCCAACTTCCCGTGAACCAACTTTCTCTACCGCTTATTGGAAATGTGCCTCTCAAAAGTGAAAAGCCATACCGTGGGAAGTTAAGATTGCTCCAAAAGCTAGACTTTGAAGGAAGATCCTTGACATAAGAACCACCATGGTAAATTAAATTTTGGAAGCTTCAATTGGCTGAGAGCTAGATTCTGAAAGGACAAATTTGAAGAATGCCAAGTCAAACGGATTAAACGGGATTTGTGAAACTGATAAAACAAGTTAATGGGCTCGAATAAGAAATGCAAGAAAAAAGAAGCCCAGTATACAAATGTAACGACGTCGTTTTCGTATCACAAAATAAGGAAATCTATCCTTCGAGAGCAAAAAGAGAGCTTTCTAGGTTTTTCTCTTACTCTGCAATACACAGCAATGGCGGCGAGAGGTGCTTTGCTTCGATACCTTAGAGTCAACGTCAATCCAACAATTCAAAACCCTAGAGCATGTGCACTTCCTTTCTCCGTTCTTCTTCGCCGTTTCTCTGAGGAAGTTAGAGGCTCTTTCCTTGACAAATCTGAGGTCACAGATCGCGTTCTCTCTGTCGTCAAAAACTTTCAAAAAGTTGATCCTTCGAAGGTAAATTCTTCTCCGATGAGACCCATTTCTTCATTTCCGATTGTATTGCGATGAAATTGTGTAATTCGTAGTGGTTCTGGTATTTTACTTGTTAGGTTTTTGAGTAAAACCTTTAGAAAAAATTAAGCTTATTTGGATTATATATGATTAGATGAAGAAAAAAGCTTTGATTTTGAAGATGGTATTTAGTGTTTATTTCATTGCCATTTCACTGGCCTGAGTAGAAAGCTTTAGGCTTCAGCATTTTGTTTTTTTTTACTTGCAAAAACAAAGGATAAAATTTATTGCCTGTTTTGGATGATTGTGGCTGTGTAGAATAAGCTCACATATTTGTTATGTGTTTTAGTATCTCCGTTGCATCAATTTGTATAGCCTTTTCCTCATGTTAAATGCTCTCTTTTTCTTCTTTTGTGACTTGTGGAGATATTTTCGATTAGGAGTAGCCAGAAATGCATATTTGTCGCAAGGGTTGGAAACTATTAGTGAGGCCTATGTAATATTCTTTAGAGATGAATAAAAGGCACTCCTTTTCTTTTGTATTTCTGGGAATTCATGTTTTCTCCATGCCATGTTTGATTAGTTAAGCTTTCCAAGCATCACAATCTTGTAGAAGAGGAATTCAAAAATTTTGGTTTGATGAGCACGCCATTATGTGTAATATCTGGAATCTTTTGAGAAGTTTAGCTGAGTGATCATTTGTGCATTTTCTTTTACTTGTAGACTTTGTGTTTTGGGTGTTTATGTAGTGCTTCTTAGCTCTCTTGATCAGCAACTCAAAATCAAACAATAAAATATTTGCATTTGTTGCTCCCTTAGAGAATTTATCTGATAGAATCAGTTGTTTACCTACCAGAGTCTCAAGCTCCATATTTCAGTGCTTTCTTATCTGCTATTACATTTCACTAGGCTGTGTGTTTTGGGTGTTTATATAGTGCTTCTTAGCTCTCTAGATCAGCAACTCAAAAACAAACAATAAAGTAATTGCATTTGTTTCATCTTTAGAGACTTAATCTGACCTAATCAATTGTTTCCTTTATCCGAAGTTTCAGGCTCCAAATTTCAGTGCCTTTTAGTAGTCTTGAACTCTGTACTAATCCAATTTGTACTGTTGTTGCAGGTAACACCAAAAGCCCATTTCCAAAACGATCTCGGGTTGGACAGTTTGGACAGTGTAGAAGTTGTGATGGCATTGGAGGAGGAATTTGGGTTTGAGATCCCTGATAATGAAGCAGACAAGATCCAGTCGATCAATCTAGCTGTTGATTTTATTGCTTCTCATCCTCAGGCTAAGTAAAAGAGAAATAAATTCTTCGGCGTTCATGCGTGCCTCAGCTGTGTCTACAGATTTGGTTAAAGCCTAATAAGAAGTAAAGAAGCAAACAACATTTTCTTTTTGTCATGAGAATGGAGAAGCTTTTGTTTTTGGCTCTACTACTCTGGTTTCATAAGTTTTAGATGTGTTTCGGCATGAATTACGATGTCTTTCAAGGAACTTTGTTTTTCTTGATTATCTTATTAAATGCATCAGACACTCATTGCATTATTAAACGATACCTTCAAGTATCGCAGGCTCGTCTCTCATAAAAATCCTCTTTCCTTTATTAGCATTCAATTAAATGGAACATACATAAAGTTAAAAACTATGCAAAATAGAGTAAATTTTATAATCTACTACAAAACATACATAAAATGTCGAATCTTGTTTGCTTGTAGTTTGCGTGTGAAAAAAACTCTACAATAGCAGAAGAAAAACAAGATTTGGTAAGAAATACAGAATACTCTTTTTTGAGTAAAGTTCTCTTTTAAAATATTTGGACACATTTATAGTCAAACAGTTTCCTGCAACAAGCTTCAAAGGAAGCTTCTTTGGAAATTCCCAGAAGAAAACTTGGAAGCCAAACCTTCAGCCATACCCTCGGCATCAAGTTTCACATTCTGTCTCCCGGCAGTAAGATCGTTTTCACGGTCCCATGGCTTCCACGGATGTTTCCCTACCCACTCGTCCTTCTCGGTTTTCTCTTTGGATGAAGACAATTTCTTCTTCTTCTTCAGACGGCTTGAAGAAGAAGAAGAGTCTTCTCTGTGCTTCTCTACCAGAGACTTTGCTCTTTTCTCTTTGTTATACTTGTCCACAAGCTCAGCATCCATGCTTCTTTTCATATTTTCCCCTTCGTTTGATGCAAGCGCACTCGCCTTGTTGTATGCCTCCAAGTAACTGCAACCCCAGAAAGAACAATAATAAGAACAAAGCTATGAAACTTCAACCAAATGACCAAACCCTTCAAAATCCACTCCCCCCTTCAACAATCTGCAGAGTGCAGAGACAGCCCAAATAAATCCATCCTTAACTAATGGATATCTAACCAATGTGTTTTGCTTTTATGACAAAAACAACCTCGTGAAATGTAGTTAACAGGTGCTAGTGAGAGGTTGAAAAATTAGTGTGTTCTTACTTCATCTTTGCTCTTTCAGCTTTGTCCATAGGAGTATCGGTCCAGGCTGTAGTGTCTCCGCGACCTTCTCTAGCATTTCTGCTAAATGTGGTTGATTGCTGCACAGCCACTCCAACCTGCGAAAGATGAACCCCATATAAGATTTAAAATTTGAACCCTATCCAACAATTCAAAAGCGTTTACAATCAATTGTGGATCTCTCACCTTTCTTTCAGGAGGCAGAGTGGTCATCCACTCGTCTCTTTTAGGTACAGGTTTAACTTCGGTTGCTGCCAGCAGCTCTGCGTCACCTTCCATTGATATGCCTGCAAACCGGAAAAAGTCTCCATTACTATTTCATCTCATAAAGGCAAAGAGATTAAGGAGCCTGCATGACACTGTGATTCATCATCACCTTGTGATCTTCTCCATTGTGCCGCTTCTTGCATTGAACGTAATTCAACCTGTAGGGCAAATATACCGTGTCTTTTTAAGTAATACGAACAGATTTATCCAGAAAGATTACATAGATCAATCCGGCAGAATTACAAACCTTAAATGCCTCTTGTTCCTCCTTGAGTTTAATCTTATCATCCATTGCTTTTCTCTGTAGACATTAATACATTAGTGATATAAAAAAGGGTAATAAAAGAGATGGTATTAAGGGAATACACATAAAGAGATGATCAATGGCCACATGATTCAGTAAGTCTCTGAGAGCATATTGAAAAATAATCAGATAGTAGATGATTCATTATCTCACCTTTTCTGGATCTTGTAATTCTTTGAAAGCTTTGTTCAGTAAAACGAAAGCTTCCTGGGCTTGGGGATGAGAACATTTGTCTGGGTGAACAAGAAGAGACAGCTTCCAGTACCTATAGACCAGAATTATCTATATCAATTATGTAACTGATTACATAAAATTGTGTAAAACGATTGAGCGCAGTTATTTAGTGAATAATAATCATTTTTCTACATTGCAGAAGTGTAGCAGAATCCATACCTCTTCTTCATATTATCAGCAGCCATATTGTGATTCACTCCTAAGACGTCGTATGGACTATCAGCGTCAGCTTCCATAATCCGTGTCACCTGTTTATGCAAGACGAATGAGTTGCTACTCTAGCGAATACGCTATCCATAAACTTTGTGACACAAAAAATGTACTGATAACGCCAGAAGGAAAACTAAGAACCTCTTCAAATCGCTCTGCCTCATTCGACGATGCAACTTCTGCAACAACAGCTGGTGGAGCAGGTCCAATGAAATATTCTGAATCTTCTTCTAGCTCAGCTTCTCTGAAGCATTTTGATAAAAATTTATTAAACGGATTATTCCATATAAAATGAAAAGACGATAATCTTTCAGCTGATAACCAATTAAAAGTACCTAAGTTCAGCTTGAGCTTCTGTTAGCTTTGCTGCTGCAGCAAGTAACTCAGCCGATGGCATTGCAGGTCCAATCACCCTACAATCAAATTATAACACCATAATGTTTTATCCTCTAAAGTCTAGACCCACTTTAAGATCTAGTCCAATAACCAATTAATACCAAGCATACTAGAATGAACCACAACGAAAAAACTTGAATCACCTTTTCTTTGGACCAGCAACATCATCAGCTGAATTCGATCCCAAACCGTTCTCATCTGGCAAACCCTTTTCAGTGTTCTTCAATGGGACAGAATCCTCAAGGTTTTTCTCAACTTCTTCTTCGCTGCCTTTAATAAGATGCCCCACTACATCTAAAGAAGGAGAAGCACCTGGTGGTAACAAAAACACTCTATCCCCACGTTCCTTCAACTTCAAAGCAAGAAACAGCTTCTTCAACCGCTTCTTCAAAGCACTCTCGGAAATACCCTTTATATCAACCGCTTGCCCATCATCTATCATTTTCAAAAGCTACAAAAAATGTATAAAACTCGAAACATCAGAACATCAAGACATTGGACGCATAGCACTAGCTATGAGTTCAGGGTTCACCAAAAATTCCACTACTCATAAACCAAACCTATCTAGAGTAAAGAAGAATCACATCACCTGTTTCAAATCATTGCCAACATTAGGAAACTCCAACAACATCTCCTTTACCACAGTTTCAGGCTCATCCTCTTGATCAGAGAATGAATCAGAAGCAGAGTGAGACTCAGTATCAGACTCATAATCACGCTTCTTAGTCTTCTTCTTCTTCTTCATATCTCTCCTCTTTCTCTCTTTCCTCTCAATCTTCTTCCTCTTCCTTTCCTTCTCCCTCTTCCTCCGCTTCTCCCTCTCATAACTTCCTCCGTCACTTTTCCGCCGCTCCTTTTGCTTCTTCCGCCGCTTTCTAGAAGGCGAATCAGACTCGTCGGAGCTGTATGACGAAACAGACGACGACGATGTTGCTGAAGATGGAGTATCGTCTCCCGAATCAACCTCTCTCTTCCTGTGCTTAGCCATTTTGTTCAATCCCTGAATCAGATTTTCCAAATCCAATCAAGAGCCTAAAATCCCTCAATCACCAAATTGAAACGTGTAAATAAGCTATTACCTGTTCTCCACTCCTCCGGCACCGTTTAAAACGAGAATTAACTTTCCGGCGGAGTATTCCGTCGTAAATGTCTGTTTGTTCCCCTTTAGGTCGTCGTTGTCTACAGTCTGCTCGTGGAAGAAGAGATGAGCGAAGATCGACACAGGAAACTGCGTCGTTTAGGATTTAAAACTAGCAAAAATAAAAATAAACCGGTTTAGTTTAAAGGGGTAATTGCCAAAATGGGCATTATTTGGCCCAGAAATTTGGATAAAGGAACATCTACCGGGCCTTTCAAATTGGGCATTTATCACTCGTGCGAAATTACACATTTGCCCTCTAAAAGTTGGGCGGGATTGGAATTGCTTGAATTCCGAAAACTGACGACGGAGATGACATCTCCAACAGTGCCGGCTTTTTTGTGGCTGAGAAACGACGATGTGTAAGCTTAATCCGTGGGGTAGGTAAACGTGAGAAACGATATAGGATATAAGAAGAGTGGTAGGTGTTTGTGGATATTTGGATCTGATAATTGTTGTTTAAAATTGTTGGATTCATAAAGCTAGAGCTGAAGATAGAAGTTTAGAGAGAAGGTGGCCGTTTGAACCATGAACTCTGAGGTAATGATTTCGCTTTTATACTCCTATACATATCCATTAGCTCTGGAATCGATTACTCTGAAGCTCATTGTGAGGTTACTGATGTTAAGTTGGAAACTCACACAACTGTCACTGGAATTTAGTTGTTTGTATGATGGGTAGTAGTCCGTTTCTGTTATGGATATTAGTCGGGTTTTTAATTATATTATGCAGAGCTATGTTTGTTGTCGTTTTGGATGCTAGGTTGAATTTTTTTTGGGTTTAAGTGGTTTTTGTACTTGTAGTCAGTGTATAGCAGAATGAATTCGTCAATGGAGTTTGGTTCTGTATCTTATAATAACTGGTAGCTGGGAGTGCTGTGAAAATGGTATATGGGATTTTCTCATTGCAAAGGAGTGCTATGCCCGAAGCATATCAATGAGCATGACAATGAGTTATGACGAGCTGATAGCGAAAGTTACTGCGGAGTTTGATCTGTCCGAGATGACCCTGATGCCAAAGCTGAGTTATTGGCTTCCAAGCCAACTGTCAATGTTTTCAGTTAACCGCAGACCTCCTGTAATAATTTCAAGTGAAATGGGAATCCGAAATTTCCTTAATGTCCGAAGAACTGCAATTCATCTTAATTTGCTCCTGTCTCTGCAAGAGGCTTCAGAAGCAAGTTGTAGTACACGCATGAGAAGAGTTTGTGTTGCAGCAGAGGATGAACAGGATCCTATCCATGGAGATGGGATCAGGATGTATAGTGTCGAGACTGCCACAACTGAGAACAGGAACGAAAATTCCGGCAGTCAGGTAAGGCGTAGGCTCTTTGGAGAAGGCCTTGATAAAGGGAAAGGGGTGATGATCGATGAAGGTGGTTGTAGTCGGCGGGGATGCCTGAGTTATGTGTTGATGCTGGCCCTAGTTGTGTAAGGGAAAGTGTTGCTGGTTTTGGAAGGAGTATTGAGGAGATACCGGGTAGTACTGTCCCTGGTATAATAAGTCTTTCAAATGCATCAACACCTTCTTTATCAAATTATCTGAGTGAGCCCAATACTGAGGATGAACTAATGTTGCGAGAGTTTGAAGCATTGGAGAAGCGTCAGGCAGATTTGGCTAAAGAGAAACGTCAAACCAGTGCAAGGGAAAGGGGGAAGTCTCAATGTGATGGAGAGTCTGACGCCTATTTCACGGATGGGGTTGAAAGTTCAGGTTCTGATGAAAATGGCTTGACTGTGTCTGAGTTGACTGCGTACGCAAACTGGGGGGACCTTAATGACTCCGATTGGTCAGATGATTGGGCGGTTCCTGTTATGGAGGAAGGAGGCGCTTCTGCTGTTGAAGAACCTCAAGATGCTGTAATAAGTAATGAGTGGATGGAGGAACCAAGGCATTCCAGAGAAAGAGATGTTGGTGATGAGGTCCTCGCTTACTTGAATAGATCTCTTGATAAACCTCTGAGTCTGCAAGACACTGATGATATGGGTGATGAGGTGGGCACAATGCCACCAACTAATGCAGGACCTTCTGCTGTTGAAGAACCTCAAGATGCTGTAATAAGTAATGCCTGGATGGAGGAACCAAGGCATTCCAGAGAACATCATGTTTGTGATGATGTCCTTGCTTACTTGAATAGATCGCTTGATAAACCTCTGAGTGTTGAAGACACTGATGATATGGGTGATGAGGTGGGGACAATGCCACCAACTGATGCAGAACCTGTGTTTGATGATGTCGTTGACTTGACCAACACAGATGGATGTGCTCCTGTTTCAGCTGAAGATGATGCTATCTATATTGGACGTGTTTTCAAAGATAAAGTTGATATGCAGAACACCTTAGCCGTTTATGCAATCAAGAGAATGTTTCATTTCAGGCAGACAAGGTCTGATCCAAGAAGGCTAATCTTTGTGTGCGTTGACCCCGGATGTAGGTGGAGAGTGTTTGGGCATCGTGTCTCAGACAACTCTACAAATTTCCAGGTCCGAACAATGACTTTAACCCACAGTTGCACAATTGCGGCAAGGTCACAATATGGAAAGCAAGCTTCAGCTAAGGTTATTGGTTCTGTATTGGAGAAGAAGGAAGAAGTTTGCAAACGGATTAAGGGGGCCAAGAGCTGCAGACATTCCTGACATTGTACTTGAAGAGCTGAAAGTATCTGTGACTTACATGAAGGCGTGGCATGCGAAAGAAGCAGCAGTTAGGAAGAGCAGAGGCAGTGACGAAGAGAGTTACAAACTGCTTGCTGGTTATATGTATTTGCTAAGGGAAGGTAATCCTGGGACTGTTTACAAACTTGAGCACAAGTTGGGTGCAAAAGGGAGCACCCAGTTCAAATATCTTTTCTTTGCACTTGGTGCAAGCATTGCTGGTATTCCGCATATGAGGAAGGTAGTCCTTGTGGATGGGACAGCTATCAAAGCAAAGTTCAAAGGAGTTCTGTTAGCTGCTAGTATGCAAGATGCGAACTTTCAAGTCTATCCTATAGCATTTGGCATTGTTGACTCAGAAAATGCCCCTGCCTGGACATGGTTTTTTAGGCAGCTAAGTGCCCTACTTCCTGACTCTGAAGATTTGGTGATCATTTCTGACAGGCATCGAGCAATATATGCGGGACTTCTTGAGGTCTATCCTCTGGCTTTCCATGGTGCATGTGCAGTGCACATAGAGAGGAATGTTAAGCACTTTTCTGGGAAAGGACTTGCATGCCTAGTTGGAAAAGCTGCAAGGTCTTTCAATGTTGGAGAGTTCAAAGAACACTATGTAGAAATTTGTAGTAGAAGCAAGAAGTGTGGAGAATACTTGGATGCCATTCCCCTTGAGCACTGGACGCAAGCTTACTGTAAGGCGAAGCGGTATAATATGATGAGCAGTAACATTGCTGAAGCGCTTAATAGTGCATTGGCGAAGATTGTTGAACTTCCTATTGTAAGTATGGTAGAGTCGATCAGAACAAAACTGATGCAATGGTTTTGTTTTAGAAGAGCAAAGGCAAAGCGTTTGTTTTCACTTTCGGAACCTATAACACCAAATGTGAACAAGTTAATGATGCGCTACCATACAGCATCAGCAGGTTTGAATGTGAAAGGCGTTTCAGATTGGAGTTACCAAGTGAGTACACCTGAGGGGAAGTCATACTATGTGGATCTTCAGAAGAAGACATGCTCCTGTCAGCAGTTTCAAAAGTTGCTGATCCCTTGTCCTCATGCACTGGCTGCGGCAAGGATAAACGGTGTACACATCCCAACACTGGTTGGAGATGTTTACAAACTGACAGTCTTCCATGCTGCATATGAGCAGTTCATATTCCCTGTACCAAATCAGGGTGATGCAGAAGTCCCTGAAGTTGTGGAACAGGAGCAATTCAATCCGCCAAGGAATCCTCCTGGTCCAGGAAGGAGAAAGAAACGTAGGATTCCCTCAGCTGGAGAACATGTGGTACCTTTCTACACGCCTTAAACTTGTTATCAAATACAAGGATACACATACTGTATTTTACAGGCTTCCTATGGTTTGTCTATATCTCAGGGAGGAAAGCGGAGAAAGGGTGGTCCTCATAAGTGTTCAATATGCTATGAAACAGGACATAACAGGGCCACTTGCTCTAATCCTGCTGTATAAGGTTGGTCAAGTAGTTGACAAAAAGTTAGAAGTTTGGATTTGTAATGGAACTAGTAACATAGAACTTTTAACATAGGTAGGTTTTATAATTGCAGGGGAGAGAACAGTTTTTTGTGCCCCAAATGCAGGGCAGTGGAGGTTTTTTGGTAACTACTGTAAAGCAGCAGGCAGAGCCGGTATTGACTAGAGGCTGGGGTGAAATCTGTTGCGACTTGTAGAACAAGTCTTTTGTGGAACTGGTGCAAGAACGTTTTGGCCACTGGAGTAAGCATGCTTTTGGATTTCAGCTTGAAATCGTAGAAGGTGAAGGCGGAGACCTGAGGGGTTTTGTTTTGTGAACATGTACTAGGCAAGGTAATTGATTGATATGTATTGCCTGTATGGTTGTGTTTGCCTGAAGGATGTAAGTTTCTATTAGGGACTGCAAATAAGTTGCAAATATGTATGTCGCTTTGTAACGGCCCTAACTATATATATGACAATGGCATTTGGTGAAAATTTTGTTTTCTGAATCAAAAGGAAACAGTAGAGGTAGGACAGGAGTAGCAGGTTTTTTGGCTTAGGCGTTACACAGTTTGGCATAATAAAGACTACAGCATACGACAGTTCCATATACTAATACATCAGTAACATGGTCTACAGAATAAGAGCGAGATAGTGGCTGACGAGATAGGAGGATGGGTTAGCACATTGCCTGAATACGCCTTGCGTAGTGGAAGGCGAAGCATTTTGGGCAGAGATGGAGAAGAGAGAAGTTGTTGAGCACACAGTGTGGTAACCCACCAAAGCGGAGTGTGTTGTCATAGAGGCCAGAAGGTAAAATTCCCATGTCCGCTATTTGATGTATAACCATTTCAGCAACTCCAACAGCCTCCTCAATGGTGCTAACACTTCTGAAGAAAGCAAAGAACACTTCCATGCCTTGGTCAAATGCACCGCAGCAAATCAGGAAAGATCCAAGAGCAAAGTGAGCGTACATAACTTCGTCAGTTGCTGAAGCTATTAGATCGAGTGCCCTTTGGCTAGGGCCCGTCTGAACAGCTAAGCGGAGACCTTCGACATAGTTTGCAGTAACGTTGCCTGCAGCAACACATTTTAAAAGGAAAGGCCTGTACCTGGAGTTTTCAAGGCATAGGCGGCTCACGAAGATGAATTCATCTATGTCAGCATCCTGGAGCACTTCGTTTGCGAAAGCTATTGCTTTGGTAGCAGGACCAGCAGCGATTAGGGGCCAAGCTCACGGAACCCATGCTTCCCTACACGCCTAACAATGTCAGTAAGCAGAACATTTGGAATGGTATTCATTGTCTTGCGCTTGCTCTTTATGTGTTTGGGGTACGCTGAGGGAAGACGGTGGAGAGGTAGTTCTCAGTTTTATAGGCGGAAGAAGTTTCAGTGTTTTCCATTGTATGCAATAAATATGGTAGTTCAGAACTGAGTAAATGGTGTACTCATTTATGACTACAGGTGAAATAGGAGAACATAGTGGATGCGTTTTGGGGGAACAGAAGGAGTAGGTAAATGTGTCAGTAAGCTTATTTGGGTCAGTGGAGAGTAGTAAAAGGAAACAGAGCATAAGTTAAAAGAAGAATAACATATTTAAGCTGGAGAACAAACACATAAAAGGGAAAATACATATAAGAGGAAGAAAGACTAAAATTATTTAAAAAAACAATCAAAGACACCAACATAACTGAGCAAGAGCAGAGAACTAGCAAAGGAGGAGGTACATAACAGAGAACCAATAGAGGAAACAGTTAATGCATCTGTTGCTGAGGTTGCAGCCTAGACAGAGAGGAATGTCGACCCATTTCCAAGTATTACTATGACTCCGTATCTTCAAAGGGCCAATTTGCATTATTTGCCTGAAGACAGTACTGCCAATGGAATCTGCTGCTTCGAATGAGCCAGTAGAACATAAAAATGTAGAACAGCTACGAAGAGCATCATCGTAAAAGCCCAAACACACTTGCAGCAAGGCTATGGTGAAGTTAGCATGAGGTAGAGGATCCGGTTGCGATAGCAGCAGTTGGAGAGCATACTCTGCCCGACCCTCTCTTGTTGCAAGCTTTAGGCTTTCTAGGTAACACGCAGTTGGATTACCAGCTTGGACACAGCGGGAGAAAAATGGATGGAAAGGAGATTCATTGGTAATAAGATGAGGATTGTTGAAAAGATATTGTAGAGAGATAGTACGAAGAACTGCAGGATCAGAAGCAAGTGTGTTGTAGAACTTTGAAGTCCCAAGCATTCCCCCTAGATTGATGAAACTATCAGCTCCTACACGCATAGCAATATCTATGGCAACATTGATATCAAGGTTTTCCATATTTGTTGTTTGAGTTATGGTTTGGTAGAAGAAGCATGTACATTATATAGGAATTATTGCATAATAAGGCACTTACCTCAACTTATTTGTGCCTTTAGGCACTTTGAAGGGAGAAGGCACTCTCACATTGCCAAATCTCCATTATACCCTCAATCCGGTTCTACAGCCGGTTCTGTTTCTCTTCCTACAAACCGAACCTGGTTTGCCTCTGTCTCTATCCTCCCCACTTGTTACGGTTTCCCCCCCCACTGTAAAAAACCCTAATTTCTTCTCCCAACTTCTTTACCGTTTCTTCATTCTCCCGTTTAAAGCTCAAATCTGACCCGCCATTTCCTTTGTCAACTAACCCCTGTCGCACGGTTTCCCTACTTCATCGTTGTCGTAGGGCTGTACATCATTGTCTTCGAAGTGTTTACATTATCAGAAACTCCACGCATCTCCCTAATGGAAGGTAATTATTGAACCCAATGCTCATGTTCTCATAACTAATTTATGCAATTAACCAGTTCAAAAACCAACTGCAGCCTCGACTTCAAAGCAACCTTCTTCAGAATGGGATTCAAATCTTCCTAATCGACTATTCGCCACTGATCGTTATCCCAAAGCGAGGCTAAATGTCTATTGTAAACCCGACATTCTTTCGTTTATCCGGTCTATTTTCCATGGGACACCGGAATTCGACACTATTCTGCAATCTTGCTTCGGTCCTCTCTTCGACTTGCCGGTAAGTCGAAGCCCTAGTTCTTGCAAGCTGATACATTCTTTGCTATGTAGGCAGTTGATAACCAAACGGAAGTATGAATTATGGACTGTGTTTGGTGGACAACCCCTGAGATTTTCCCTTATTGAATTTGGTGCTTTAACTGGTTTGCCCTTCGGTGAATTTCTAGAGGACTATGATCCAGAAAGTGAGCCATCTTATGTTGAAGGGCAGGATTGTTACTGGAACGAGTTAATAGGGAAAGATAAGGACGCAACCTTAGGTGATGTATCTGAAATGCTCCTCAACCCCAAAAAACCCTTGTCTCCTGAACACAGAGTTAAGCTTGCGTATCTCCTCATTGTTGATGGTGTCCTCATATCCTCAAACCAAACGGGGAGGCCCACATTTAAATATGTTGAGATGTTGGCAGATATTGAAGCGTTCCTTGCCTTCCCTTGGGGTAGAGAGTCATTTATGAAGACAATAGCATCCATGAGACCCGGGAAACGTATTCTACCATCAGGCACTGGGAAAAAATTGGTGTCAACTGATCCTGTGAAGAATTTCGCCAAACAACTTCAGCAGATCACATTCCGTCTGAAAGGTTTTCCGCTTGCGTTGCAACTCCTAGCATTTCGAAACATTCCTGGCATGGTTGATTTGGTCACTGATGATTCCACCTCATTGACTATCAAACACTGGAATAAAGTCTCTCTGCCAAAACAATTAATTTCTCTTTCTCAAATACACGCTCTTGAGCACCACCTGAAGGTATAAGTTTCCAACCTTGGTAGCTTCATCTTTACATACCCTCTTTGTTACTCAATTTACCCTTCTGTTTGGTCAGGAGAAAGTGGATCCTTATATTCTTCTTGGCGAAAATGTTGACAAATCTTGGGGGGAGTGGGATGATGAGGTGAAAGACAAGAAAGTAGCTTATATGTTGGAACTGATACTCAGATCAAATAAATTCAATAAATCTGAATGGCCAGGAGGTGATGACTCATTACCATTCATTTCTATCCCAAAAAAGAAAGTCGCAGTTGTTCATAAAAGGCACATTGTCGAGCGTAAAAAGAAACCAGGGCAGAAGAAATCTAACACGCGACTACGTGTGAAGTGTCAGTCTCCAAAATCAAAGCATCGCTATGCTACCCGTAGCCGGTCTTCTCTAACTCTATGTGATGATGAGAAGTCTTCTTTAATGGTGGAACTGAAAAACCAAGTGGCAGAGCTATCAAAGCGTGTATTGAAGCTAGAAAAAAGAAATAAGGCAATCATATTCAAGCGCTCTAGGAAACTCTCTTCTAGATGTGGTGAATTTGCCTCTAGATCCAGGCGCATGACGCAAGCTAAAGTTCCTGTTAAATCTCAGACCACTCCGGATGATATGTCCAATGAGGTATATATCTTACCCTTCCTTCAGTGACACTGTTTGCCCCTCACCTTATGGAAACAACTTCTATTTCTTACCCGAATGATCGTTCAAGCAATGAATTTTTATCAAACGCACACATACATGAAGGCTTTCTTATGGAGGTTTATAGCTTCTACCACTCACATAGCTATGACTATAACTATAATATTAATATAAAAAGTGGTTTAACATTACAGGATCACTGCGCAACCAAAGTCAATGCTGACAATTTCGGATCACAATCAGACAATTATTTGCCTATGGCAAACAATAATGAAGGCTACAGCAATCAGTCAGAATATAACTCCGGGTTCGCGCAAACTAACACTGATTTGGATATGGAGGTATGTCTGTTATATCTTATTTGTTTCCTACTTATTGTGTAACAATATCTATATAATATTAAACATTTTTTACCTTTCTAAACAGCCACAATCCAACAAGAATTTCAATATATCGGATGTCGCACCTCAATCTCCTGGAGATATATTGGTTGGTGATGGTGTTCAGCACAACTGGAAACAATACCGGGAGGTATTTGGGTATCCTGG